TCAACTGACCTCATGGACAAACAGGAATTGTTGGCCTTGTAGATAAGAACCAAGGCCTCCATTTTCAGAGAACTTGTAGGACATATCTCCTCCTCTAAATCAACTTAGATCACCTCCCTGTTTCTCGCAACAGAAAGTCAGATAATTTAGAAACCTGTGCCTCAGGGCTTGAGTGGACCAAAGGTTACAACCAGTGAAGGTCAACTCAATGAGTTGGGAGTACATAAGAGTACAGCAGGAATTAATAGATAATAAACTGCCCTGAGAACTTTCTAAGTTTCTTCCTCTTTTCTCTTAGATGCTAAAAAAGAAGATTCTATCTCTATCTGGTAAACCAAATAGTTATCAAAGTTTTTGTTATGGGGATAAATGGGAGGGGTAATGTTTCCCAAGTGGCTAGGGCTCCACCCAGGTCTTTAAGGAGTTACAGTGAGTCACAGACTATGGAGAGGTCTAAGGAAAGGGGAAAGTGTGGCTAGAGGCCCTAGAAACTTCTGGTGTGGCATTTGAGTCTCACAGGGATGCACTGGGCACTCAGTATCTGCATCCTTCTGCACAAGATCATCTCTAAAGAGCTCAGACTGTCTCTGTCTCTTGATCTCTGAATGGCATCAGCACTTGCCTGATGAGTGCAAGGTCCTGAGTTCAATCCCTGATACCAATTAATAAATAAACAAACAAATAAATTAGGGATTTGATCCTGACAATCTGAAAAGAAGAGCAATGTATCTTGTTGCAATGCTGTTTGGGCCCAGCATGAACTAAGAAATGGGGAGAGATGGATAAAGAATGGCAATTTAAATTATAGTATTACTCTTCAGTTAGATCTTTTTGGTGAAAAGCAAGGCAAGTGATGTGAAATTCCTAGTGTTTAGGCTTTTATGGTTCTTTATCTCTAGAAAGGTCCAAGAACTATGGCACTTAAAGAATCATCCAAGGAAGAAGAAATCAGTATCATTGATAATCCTGTCTTCAGATACCAACCTGTCTCTCAGGGATATAAGGGAATCTCCCAATGGTTTAATGAAAACAATCACCCTGGGTGGTCTCAAACTCCTCCTACAGTACTCAGGCCAATAAATCAATCCCATCCTTTTCAAAAGCCTTGGGAACTCCACTAGAGACTAGCTCCCCAGAAAGACCCAGTATTCCTCCAGCCCCTACTGATGCTCCACAGATAGCTTTTAGTTCCACAGAACATTCTCAGAGTAGAGTTCCTTACTCTTCCCACTTATAGCTCATCCTGCCCCCTAAAAGAGGCTCTAAAAGTAGAGGGGATTTCTGTAGGATTGCTGTACTTGAGTCCAGACTCCCTTTTCAGTGGCAGGTACCCAACAATGCAAAGAATGGTTAGGCTGATTTTCAGCAGATCCTGGTAGGCCTGCAGATGGGTTTCAGACTTTAGCTCTTGTGTTTACCTCTTGTGGTGAGATGTCCAACTTATCTTGGCCACTTACTGTATCCCAGATGAAAAAGAAAAAGAATCCTAGGAGAGGGTAAGAGATATACAGATGAATAATATGCTGCAGCAAGGAAAGGAAATCATCCTGGAGCCAAGCTGGGATTACAGTACTAGCAGTGTCCTGGACATAAGGTCTAAATGATAACTGTTCTTTGTCATGGGAATGGTTTGAAAGAGTGAGAAAGGTTACACAGAGCAAAGGAAAATCTAGCTATCTTTCATTTCCAGTTTGTAGACCGAGATCTATCCTCCAAAGAGGGATTGGACATCAATGGAACAACATTTTGTTAGCCTCTGCTATTTGGTACAAAGTATAGAAACTTCGGATGCCCCACCCCCACCCCTATGACCCAATTAAAGGACACAGCTATTCTGTGTTTGACAATCAGGATCTAGATGAGGATGAAAGAAGAACCCTGATGAAAAAAAAAAAAAAAAAAAAAAAAGACAGGACAAATTGATGGTTGTTGCAATTGGCAATGTTTTAAGCACTTCCAAGCCATCCAACTGAAAATCCAAGGCCAGTCAGGGAAATAGCTCCTGCTTTAAGACCAAGGAAACTGACACTGGGCACACACCACCACCAAGCCACTGACCAGAGAGTGGCTGGCCCAGCCGAAGCCCTCACCTTGTGCTCTGATGAAAAGGACTGACAGACCCAGGGCAATCTGCAGTGCCCTTGTCCACAGACATCTCCATCTCCTATGAAGAACCAAGGTGACCCTAGACACTATGGCTAAGCAAATTCATACGTGGGTGCTTACTGTGTTTTAACTGCTTTCTCTGGAAAACCCTTTCCTAGATCTACAGCTAGAACTGGAATTGAGGGGACCCCTACTCAGAGCTTCTTTACACCTGCTCTGATATGTCAGTTCAAAGGTCAGATGTTCAACTGTGAGTTTTAATTGTCCCATTTTTATTAGCAAGAGATTAACTAACAAAATTAGGGGCAATTTTCTAATTCCAGCAAAGGCCAAAGTTGATATTGCTGTTCAGTCCACGCCAGACCTCCCAGGCCCAATTACCTAACCAGTAGATTCTGCTGCATGATACAGGGAATACCTGGGAGGGCAAATTTAGCAGTGCCACTAGTTATAAAGCTAGAAGACTGTAGGCAATTTCTGTACCAAAAGCAATACACAAAAAAGAGGCCTGTAAAATCCTCCAGCTGCTCATAGAGAGGTTTCTCCAATGTGGCCTTTTGGGGTCCTCCCTTTGCAATACTCCTATTCGCTCTGTAATGTGCTTCAGGACAATATAGGATGGCGCAAGTCCTTTGCCTTGTTAACTAATATGAACACACCCTCTGGGGGCAGATGCTTATAAAATCTTCTCCTGAATCCTGGAACACAAATTGGTTCTCAGTCTTACACTTCAGAGATGCTCTCTCTTGAGTCCTCTCTGTCCAGATTCCCAGTACCTGACTGCTTTTGAGTGGAAAGTCCCATTAGAAAAAACACTATACTGGGTCGGTTCTTCCACTGTTCTTCTTTAGCTGCCCTCACCTAATGCTCAGGGGCAAGGGAGATGGCTCAGTGGAATAAGCACTTCCCTGGCAAGGGCAAGGGCCTGAGTTCAATCCCTGGTTCCGCTGAAAAAAAGAAAAAAAAAATGGCAGAAATTAATGCTCAGGCACTAGAAATGGGCTTAAGGAATTTAGAGCTTAAACAGGGAATCATCCTAAACATGCAGATTATATTCTAGTCTGCAGTTCAATTTAGGAGCTATCCAAGCCCTCAGATGTGTAACTAAGAAGGAATATAAAGTCTCAAAGGAAAAGGCTCACATAGCCCTTCAAAAAGTCCAATACTTGGGGTACGTTCTTATACCTGGGGAATGAAAGCCCTCTCCAGACCAGATCCAGGCTGTGAGCTCAGGCAGCCAGCTACCAAAGTACAGTCTGTTCCTTTCTGCGAAAGCCTCCTTTCGGTGAATCTAGACACCTCCTAATTTTGGACTAATGGCACAGAGTCTTTATATAAGGCTGTCAAAGGCCCAGAGAAAAGATGTTTTCGAGGCAAGCAGAATGAAGGTGTTATACCCGGGCAACTGATTCCAATTTTGTAACTCTGTATGCTTCCACTGTAACTTTATTAATTGTTATAACCTGACATATGCGCCGCCATCTTGTTCTGTATGCGCCATTCTAAATGCTGTAACTTTCCGCTGTGCCCCTTCTCTACTTGAGAACCTGCAGTTGGGCCTTTCTCACGCTGCCCTTTGTGCACACCTGAATCTAGTTCCAGCCCCATGCCCTGATCTCCCCCTTGTTCCCAGCTACAAACTGTACCCACCACTGCACCTGTTATTGTTCATTAGAAACAGGTAATTTTTCAATTGTAGCCCCTAGATGAACCCTTGATGTCACTCCTTTGTGGTTTATCGGCTTAAATACCCACTCCCCTCATCCTCCCGGCGCGCACCTCAGTGTCTTGCCAGGGTGGTCGCCGCTGGGTACCAGCTAAAATAAAACGCTTCTTTTCTTTTTAAGCCTGCCTCATTTTTGAGTTACAACAGGAGGAAAGTCAGTGCCAGCCATATCTGTCCCCCAAACTTAATCAAGAAAATAAAATATTTTTAAGAAACATCCCCAAGAAAGCCTTACCTTAAGTAAACATCACTGGCCAGCATTGGGTCATGTTGCTAGGAAATGCAATACTGACAATGTGGTGTAGAACTTCACCCACTCCGCTCACATACATGCACCCCCTCCTCAAGACTGCTCTTGCCCTGAACCCCACAAGTTTCCCCAGGGCTCCTCTGTGGTAGGCAATATACACAGACACAGCAGATGTTGGCTCCTCCCCCCAACCCCACTAGGATTTCTAAAGAAGTGATATTACCAGCCCGCCCTGCTGATCCCGCCCTGGGGGCTCGCTGAGACTGCAATTGAGACTAGGCTGGTGGCACACGCCTGTAATCCCAGCACTTG